CAAAGTGACGCAAAATTTACCAAACCTACGCGGACGGCGAGAATAATGTCTAGCTTACTCTTTCTAATTTCCAAACGCATTTTAGAGCTGCCTCTCAAAGTAGCCTAAATTTCCCATCAATTGATGGCGACTCGGCTGTGCCAGACTTTGGATCATGATGTAAGGTTCGCAGCTGTGTGCGATTTCTGATCGTGGATTGCAGTTCCATCGCCCCATTATTCATTTGAACTCAAGAAACTGGCATTGCCATCCGCATTTCTAAGTTTTAGCAACCCTTCTGTAGACCTGATGTTGTACTTCTGTCCTTATTGCCTGCGCACATTCCAGTATCACCGCAGTCTCAGATGTCACGTCGAAGGCGAGCATTGGGGTAATTGGAAAAGTTAATTGTTTTATTGAAAGCAATGAGAGCACACATTTCAGCTGACTTTATATCCATGCTTTACAAGCAAATTATAAGTTTGATTTCTTTATCTGCCTTCGGTTATCCTTAATAAGATGAATCCATTTCTTTCCAATTGCCCATAATCCGTTTGCTTCAAGACTGCATCCAGTATGTGTGTGGTCTGTCAACTATCCTTTCAGAATGTCACCTGCCTCCAACATCACAGAGACCTAATTCACGCAGATATTCCTCGTCCCACTGCCTTGCATTATGCTAACCGATACATTTCACGCAATTTTGTGCATTCGCCCACACATATTCCTCTTATTTTAAATAGGGATAGGAAATAGCGCTCTCCGACGTTTACTGAAATATCATAAATTCATAGGATATATGAAATTGCGCGTTCGAGGTGAGAATTGCTCAAATGCAAGGCAAGTATTCGAACAAGTAAAAAATTTCTTTGGCTCTACTTCTATAACTTGCGAGACTTTGGGGCAATGAGGATCTGAGCCGCAACCCCCCCCTCCCCCCTGAAATCCGGTACATTCAGTAAACCATAAACGGCTTTGCCTGCTATGCAACTTCATGAGAATGCAATTTCACTTAACTTCCACTGTAGCTTGGGCTACTGCTGAAGGTCTTGTTTGTCAGTCATGCCTCCAACGTCAGTGCCTTCGTATATTTGTTTCCGAGAAGGGTGCGCGTAAGCTGGCATAGAATAGGATTTGTTGCAGATTTCTATTGTTTAGGATCCTCCGAATGGTAGAGGAGAGTGCATTTTGATGTTGAGCCTTATAGTCTACCTCGGTGTTCCTTACAAGGACATGGTATCACGAATTTACGATGCTGATGGCGCCGCTGCAAGTAGTGGAGAGTGAAGTCCTCCTTTTATGACTACAGTTTTATGCGTTTTAACTTTCATTGTATTTATATTTATGTAAACGTGTAAGAATGTCTTCACTTTTTGTTTTTATATCTAATTAACCAAGCATAGTAAATTACAGGTTGTAAAGCAACATAGTTCATCCAGAAGGCGTAGCACAACACTCCTCTTTAAAACAGTTTGATGCCGAGTGCAATAGGCACGGAGAAATGCTCGTATTAACAGAATGCTGGCATTTTCCGTTAGACAGACTGTGGGGTCGGATTTACGATGGTAGTTTAAGGCATCATTTATTTTGGTGACAGGCAACGCTAGCTCTCCAACCTCAATAGACTGCACTTTCCCTCGGTGGCATGGCTATTAAGCTGCGACTGTGCCCTTTCATCCCCAAAACTGTCCATTGTTAATTTGTCTTATATGCTGATACCAGAAACAGACCTAATGCTGCTTCACTATAACTTGCATTCTAGCCTGATTCACAAACAAATGTACTAATTCCTTTGACCCAGTATCGGGGCAAAGCATCAACGGAGATTGTAGCAGATATGGACTATGGAAACTGCTGAAACAACTGAGGGGATATGAGCTTGTCAAAAGCAGTGCTGTGAGGGAAGAAGTGAAAAATACGAAGCTGAAAACGACGAGTTTGATGGCAAGGTAAGAAAGTTTGCAGAGTGGACAAAAAGCGAATGATTTCGGAGTGGAACTATAAAGTTCTCTTTTGCATCTGGGGAAGTCTAGTCAAAGAGTGAGTTATATGGGACCTGTGGCACTGGCAAGATATGGTAGATCCAAGACAATTTTGCTAATATATTTGGCTGATTAGCCTGCTCAAACGACAGCAAAGATGGAATCTCCAGCGCATGATTGTGGCTGCAGGGACAACGGGTGGGCTGAGAGAGCATTTACAGCAGTGTTCTGTAAGACAGGGGCCGAGGAAACGGGCGACACCAGAAGTTGAGGCTTACATAGTGAAATAATTGAGTGTGCAAAGTGGTCTAAATTTAAT